ACCGACCTCCTGTGCTAAATGCAGATTCTGAAGACACAGTGGAAGCAGGCATGGCCAATACATCACGTGCAATCAAGGAATAGACTTTATATTTAGCTGAATTCAATTTCCACCATATTAAAATGTTAAAATTTGGATCAAGTGCTTCAACTAACTCATCATGCAAATACTTGTCCACCTCTGCATACTTATATTCTTGAATCTCAGTCTCTTTTTGTGCGAGAAACCTTTGAAATGAAGCCCTAGACCTAGAACTTAAGAAAGTTAAAGGCCTATGATCTGATCCAAGTGATTGAGTCAAACTACTTTCACTTGCTCCTTGTGTCTGACTTTGACTCTGACTTTAAGTCTGAGATGTGTCAACCTCACTTGAATAATGATCATACAAATGATACAAGACATCTGAGACCTTTTTTGTCATAGCTTCACATTGTGTAGCCTCAGGAAACATATCTCAAAAGCAAACTGCAAATATTTCATTTTATACCTTGGGTCAAGTACAACTGCTACCACAAGCAAAAGATTAAGTTTCTCTAAGTTCCCCCAATACTTATTATACTTGGTCAACATGCTCTTAGCCATATCACAAAGAAAGGAATCATGATTGTTTGCACTTTCATATAAAATTGCAAAGACATCAACTATTTGTTGAAAGCAAACATTTGAGGTCACATAAAGTGATACTGAAAATTGCAAAGTAATATCATAGAACACTTTTAAAAAGATCACAAAATCTTTTGCATCCTTCCAATCATTTTATTAGGGGGACCAATCAAATTTTTATCCAAGAAGAAATTTCTATAATCATTATCTTGCTGCTCCATCCTCTCAAAAACACTATAAAATTTAATTGCACTCTCTAACATGATGTAAGTTGAATTCTATCTAGTTGGACAATCCATGCTTAGTAGCCTCTTTGAATCAATTTTCATTTTTTTCACAAGCTCCTTGAATTTATGAAACCTTGATGGAGAAGATTTCACATTTAATGGCATTCCGAATGCCTTCAATACACTTGTGCTTGTGCATATCCTTCATACCATCAAAAACAATCAAATTTAAGATATGCATACGACAACGCAGTGCAAGAACTCCCCATCACAAACTAAACCATTCCAATGCCTCAAGACCCCTTTTAAAGATGCCAAAGCAGTGTTATTAGAAGAAGCATTATCAATTGTGATTGTAAACACCTTATCAATGCTCCAAAACAGCAAGTATTTCTCAATTTCTTGAGCAATTGTTTCTCCTTTATGATTTTCAACAACACAAAAATTCAAGATTCGCTTTTGATATGTCCAATGCTTATCAATCCAGTGAGCAGTTAAGCACATATAACTGGCATTTTGATTGAAAGTTCAAGTATCAGTAGTGAGAGAAACACAGATTTGAGATTTTTTTTAAAATACCTTTTCAACTTTCTAGCTTCTTCAAGGTATAACTTGTAGCAATCTCTAATAACTTCTGCTCTTAAAGGGACTTGAAAGCGAGGTTCTAACCTTCTCATCATCTCTTTAAAACCATCACCTTCCATAACATTAAAAGGCATTTCATCCAATATCACAAATATAGCAATGGCTTGTCTGCAATCGAGTTGATTAAATAGATGATGACTCAAAGTTTTAGATGACCCTAATTGAGAGCCCGATAGCAAAGACTGTGCCAACTTGTTTGCTTTGTTCAGATTTTTGGGACATTTTTTTACATGTTTTCTCATTCCATTTGTCCCATGTCTTGTAGAATCACAACCAATTGTTGTTGGGCAATACTTGCACTTAGCACGGGGTTCTCCATTAGTTTTGTCCAATGGCAACCTTTCAAAATGCGCTCAAACAGCTGATTTGTGTCTCTTTCTTCCACTTTCTCCTTCATTCTTTGACTCATTTTCCTCTTCAATATTAGGTGATGAAGCATTTTCAGGATCTCCTTCTATTATTTCTACATTTTCTTGAAGGGTGGGTGTAGTGGCCATTTTTCTTCGTAATGTAGATTTGGCCAACAGTAGCAACAACAAGTATCCTTAACTGATTAAAACCTCATATTAAATATTCAAATAGGCATGCATAAAAATCAAGGGCATTAAATTTCCACACATTCAAATAATCTAAATCATGCAACCAAATAATTAAATAATTTATATGGTCAATATTTGCTTTACTTAATCCAGAGAATGCAAATAAAATTATGCATGTAATAGGTTCAATTGGAAGCATCACAACTTCTTTTTCTTGTTAAATAGAATTCTAACATGCAAATTAATATAATCAAGTTAATTAAAACATGGATATATATACTGCATTTGTAATGAAGTATCTACTTTTATCAATCTACAAATATAGATAGTATATACATGGGCATATATATTTCAAATATGAATAGTATTTTCCTTTAGCAATGGAACTGTGAAATCTATTGATAGTATATTCATGATTTTATTCATTATTTTTTTCATTAAACAAAGTCCCATTTTTGATTCTCAACTAGCATTCTTAACATGGCTGTGTTTAATTACCTGTATATAGGCCACTGAGGCAACTCATAAAATAGAAAAATCTATTGATCTTTTCTTTTAGAAATTAATTTATTATGATCTTAATTATTGAGAATGTGTGATATATTATTTGTTATTTTTATCGGTAATATCTTATCAGTTATCACTCATTCATTGAAAAATGGCTCTGTGTATGTTTTGAAATTCAAAAAAGTAATAATAAAATGAACTTTTTTTACCCAACGCTATTGAAATGAGCGTGAAACCTAGCTAGTCTTAATGAAAATTATATAATTCATTAATTATATCATAACTTAAGAAGCCTCTATAATAATTTTAGTCTAGGTCTCCAAACTTCTTCGGCCTTGATTCTTTATCACAATATGGTATATTATTTTTTAATTATACACACACATTGAGATATGCTCAATCAGGGAAGCCACAATATTTCATTTTCAAGTTTTCAAATTTTATATATTATTCCCAGGTTGAAAATACAGATCGTTATCCTGTTATTCCATTCTATCAATCAAGGCCCCTTTTGTCCTGTTTTTATTTGTGTCTTCCATTTGACATGACAGTCCATAAACTGCTCTACTCCACGCACACAAGGAATCATCATTATTATCATCGTCATCTTTTTTTTATTGTTCGTAATATGAATAGTAATTTATTTCTCAGCATTCAACAAGACAACAAATGAGAAATGAAACACACAAGATTTGAGGACTCCTTGCAGATCTGAGTAAAAGAGAACGATGGATTTGAGGTAGCACCATATCTGGGTAGAAGAGAATAACCTTGCAGCTGCGTCCGTCAAATAACCTTGCAGATCTAAAAGCGTTCACGATGAAGGGAATAATAATAGTTCAAAAAGGAGATTCAGGGAGGAACGTGTGGATTGTGGTGCGGAGGTAGCCTCTAATCGAAAGGATCGAAACTGAAGGTTTGCTGAGCTGTACGACTGATTTGCGGTTGAGGGTTGGAGGCTTGGAGTTGGAGCTTTGAAAGGGAGAGCTGGAAACTGAAGTTTGGATTTAGAAAGTGGAAACTGGAAAGGGAAAAATAAAAAATGAACTCCCTGCTGTCGCATGCATGTCTTAGCTGTCCTTGGGATTAAAGCTGAAAATTGAAAAATACTATTAAAAATTAGTTTAATTAAAATAAATAAATAATAGTTAAAATTAAAATATATATATATATATGCTGAATATAAACAGGATAGGATGGGACGTCCTCGATGGCTGGCCCGAGTCCTGTCCCGTCTCGTCCCTATTTTGGCCCTGTCCCATAAAAGTCCCGTCCTGAATTTTTTCGAGCCGGGATAGACCCGTCCCAATATAATTGGGACGAGCATGGGCCAGTACGAGTTAGTCGGGCCGGATACATCTTGAACACCCCTACTCATTGCAATAGAAGCTAGGCAATAATGGTGGTGGTTTTGCGCTCTTGGTAGCAATAAGGTAAAAGGTATGAGACTCGTTTGGTAGTTCTATATGAACCTCCATGCCTTATTTATCAATTTTGTACTGCTGATGACTAACGAGCACAATGATAGAATTGTGAGACCCATTGATGTCTTATTTATCATGTTAAAAATTATCATTAACTTGATAAAAAATAATAAAAAGTAGTAGGATCAACTGATAACCGACAAAGGTTAAATGTTTTTAACGTTAAGATAATGATGGAGGAAATTTTTAAAATTGAGAAACAAAATTAGCTCATAATATGAACAAAAATGAACTTTAACTCAAACTCAATAAGATTTTTTTTAGGCCTTTTTCCAATAAACCCTTAAAAGAAGGTAAAAGATATTAAAAAATGATAATAAAATTTTTTCAAATTACATACACGACAATTTGATCTATCGAAATGCCACAATATCAATGAAGTCTTAAGGAATGTCTTTGTTAATAATTTTTTTAAGGAAAAGATCATTTTATCCTAACTAAAACTAACAAATCTCAATCATAACTTTTATTAAGAAATCACACTTTTTGTTTTGTAATTAGTAAGAATTGAGTAAGAAATCACTACTTGTTAAATGTAATTTATGTTATTAAAAAATTAATAATAATTATAACTTTTATTTAAGAAATAATAATTTTTATTCTTTAAATCACAAGAGTTGAATGAGAAATTATAATTAGTCAAGCATAATTTCTATTATTGAAAAGTAGATTCTTAAAATAACAAACTTTATTTATAATTTTTATTTAAAGAATCATAACTTTTATTTAAAGCATGAATTGAATAAAAAATTATAATTTATCAATAAAAAAATAATATTTTTATTAAAAAACTTATAAAAAAATTTTTAAAAATTTTATTAAAATTATGATATTTTGAAGGATTGAATTATTATTTATATAATTAAAAAAAATTACAATCATTTTTTCAAAAATGTTTCACACCCTGCACTTTTTTAAAGAAAAGCCCCCACGCACACTACACCGAATCGAACCTGCCGCCTCTCTCGTTAAAAGGGGGCTTGGGTATCACCGGGCCATTTGATCTTCCGCATAAGACTTTTTCGTTGATTTCCTTTTTTTGGGCGAGTTGTCTGTACTTCGCTCACTCCCAATCTCATCCCCTCTCCTTCTCTCTCACACCAGCGCTTGAACCCTAACCACCCACCGCCATCAACATCGCCTTAGGTGCTACTCGTTGCCATACCACCCATATTGCCTTCTTCCATCTGTTTCGAATTTCTTCCTGCGCTGCTGCTGGATACCTTCTGTCTTACCTTATATCGAAATCTGAAAACCATGGCTGAGTTGGTGGCTGGAGCGTTGCTTACGTCTTCCATTCAGTTGGCTCTTGAAAGATTGGCTTCTTGTGACATTCTTGACTTCTTCCGTGTCCGAAAGATCCAGGATGGCTTCTTGCTGAAAAGACTTGACATTACCCTTAATTGCATCGACAAAGTTATTGAAGATGCTGAGGAAAGGCAATACAGAGATCCCCCTGTGAAGCGTTGGCTTGATGAGCTTAAGGATGCTGTGTTTCGGGCTGAGGACCTGATGGATGAGATTGCTACTGAGGCCTCTCGACAGAAGCTGCAACTGCAATTTCATCCCGCAACTGGTAAACTACATAACTGCTTTACTTCTATTGTCAATCCACGTGGAAAAAAAATTGAATTAAGGATCAAAGAATTGGTTGCTCACCTTGAGTTCCTTGCAAACATAAGGGACCGGCTGGGTTTGAGAGAAGTCTCTGGAGTTCCTAGGAAATATTTTAAAAAATTACCAACAACATTTTTGATAGACGAAGCTGATATCTATGGTCGTGATGCTGATAAAGAGAGAATAATAGAGATATTACTATCACCGAACATGGGTGGGAACCAAGGACCCGTAGACGTGATTGCCATTGTCGGCATGGGTGGGGTGGGGAAGACAACCCTCGCACATCTTGTATACGAAGACCAAAGGATGAAAAATAAATTTCAGCACAGGGCTTGGGTGTGTGCTTCAGAAGAATTTGATGTTGTTCAAGCTACAAAGGCAATCCACCAAGAACTCAATTGTTCCACTGCAAAATCAGATGACTTGACCTCGTATCAATGTCAGCTAAACGAGAAATTGATGGGTAAGAGTATTTTTCTTGTTCTTGACGATGTATGGAATGAGAATCGTCAAATTTGGGAGGCCTTCCGAACTCCTTTCAAAGATGCAGCTCAAGGAAGTAAAATTCTTATAACAACCCGTTATATAAAGGTAGCAGAAGTCATGCACTCTTCCCTTACATATCCTTTGAAACCATTACAAGTTGAAGATTGTTGGAAATTATTTGTAAAACATGCATTTAATGACCAACATCATGGTGAAGATAAAAATTTTGAATCGATTGGTAGACAAATTGTTGAGAAGTGTCAAGGATTACCTCTAGCAATAAAAACATTGGGAAGTTTGTTGTATACTGAACATTCTTGTCAATATTGGGATAAGATTTTGCATAGTGATATCTGGAATTTATCAGAGGATGATAGCAATATAATACCATCTTTAAGATTGAGCTACCATTATTTACCTTCAAATCTTAAGTGTTGTTTTGCTTATTGCTCCATCTTCCCTAAAGGTTATGTCATAGACAAGGATGTTCTAATCCAATTATGGATGGCAGAAGGTTTATTGCATTCCAATCAAACAAGAGGGAGCATTGAAGAAGTGGGCAAGGAAATTTTCAACTCTTTGAAGTCAAGGTCATTTTTTGAAGCATCAAAAGAAAGCAATAAATACATTATGCATGACCTTTTAAATGACTTGGCAAAATCTGTGATGGGTAAGTTTTGTCTACGGCTAGAGGGTGATTGGGCCCAAGAAATTTCTAGGGAGACTCGTTACATTTCATTCCCAACCTATGATATCAACAACTTAAAGGATATTTCCCTGTGCCACCAATTACGTTGCTTCCTCAAGTTCCAAAATGGTTATGTAAAAGGTATGTTGTCCAATCCCTCTCTTTGATATCTCTCAAACGTTTTATCTTTGACTTCATTTTGCTATATGGAACCATGGTTTATATCTCCTTGTAGTCTATTCGTTGATGTTTTCATAGAAATTGTTCAATTTATATGTGATTTCATTGGCGTTACATTTTTTTTGTCATTTGTTTTTCTTAGCTATTCCTGCTATTTGATATTGGCATATAAGCAGAAGAGGAAAATTAGATATTCGTTCGACAGAAAGGGGAAAAAGGATAGGTACAACGGATATATTCTTTCCCCTAGACAAGTCACTAACATTTTCTCTCACTTCTAGCTAACTCTATGGGTAATAACAATAAAGCCCTTATAACACCCCCCCCCCACAAAGAAGAGGTGTAGTAGTGACAAAGTGAGGAAGTTGCTGCTGTATAACAGAGAGGTTTTTCCAAGTAGCATCATCTAGTTGAGTAAATTTCCAGCAAACCTGTATTATAATGATTCTGTCTCCCTTTATTGTTGGGTAGCTTATAATATGTCTGTCTAAGCTCAAATATCTGATGTCATTATTTTTTTTAATTATTTGTACGATACTTTAGAAACATTGTGTTTCAGTTCACTGCTTTTTCCGCACTTGTCATGTTTTCTTTTTGATGGCTTGTGATCTAATTGATGAATATTCCATCTGTTGTAATCGATGGACATGTTCTTAAGGGAACTAAATATCTGATTATATTATTTACCTAAAAAGTATATCTGATTGTATTGATAAATGATACAGGACCAGCAAGGCACTATAAGCAAAAGAAAGATAAATTGTTCAGTGTGTTTCCTCATCTAAAATACATGCGGGCATTATCTTTGAATGGAAGTTGCAATGTTGAAGGGTTGATAAATAATATTAACAATTTGAAGCACTTGCGTTATTTAGATCTTTCTGAGAGTAGAATTATGAAGTTGCCAGATTCAATTTGCTCAATGATTAATTTGCAGACTCTGAAATTAAAAAATTGCTCCCTCTTGAGAAAGTTGCCATCGAAGTTGTACAAACTCATTAACTTGCATCATCTTGATTTGGAAAATTGTGTCATAGAGAAGACCCCCAAATACATGGGACAACTCAAGCATCTCCGGACAATGACTCACTTTGCTGTGAGGAAACATGAAGGATATGATCTAAAAGAATTAGGAAGCCTAAATCATTTAAGGGGTACATTAACTATTTTGAATCTAGAGAATGCAAGTGATCCTATGAATGTCCAAGAGGCCAATTTGAAAGAGAAGCATTTGTATAAACTAGATTTGAAATGGAGATGGATTCCAGATCGCAAAGTGCCACAAGAACAGGAAGAGTGCATATTGAAGGCTCTTCAACCAAGTTATAATTTAAAACTGCTATTTATTGAATGCTATGGGGGCGTTAGATTTCCGGATTGGTTGGGTGATCCTCATCTCAATTTGGTATCTTTATGTTTGTTGAGTTGTACATTTTGTGTCAACTTGCCACCACTTGGGCAACTACCTTTCCTTGAGAAACTTAGCATTGGGGGATTTGATAGAATAACGGTGATTGGTCCAGAGTTTTATGGCAGTGGCTCCTCTACTACTCCCTTTCAATCCCTTTCACAGTTAAGTATTTGCGAAATGAAACAATGGGAAGAATGGAATATCAGCTATGAAGGTGCTAGTTTTCCCCGTCTTCAAGAACTTTTTATATGTGATTGTCCGAAGTTGAAGATGCCCTTACCTCAGCACCTTCATTTAAAAAGGTTAGAAATTCATGAGTGTCCCAATCTAAAGACTCCATTCCCCAAGGCCTCTACTATGGAGGAGCTATGTCTACAAGATTGTGGGAACTTGTCAGTAAGACAAACCAGCATGGTACTTGGCAGAAGTGCTTCTGCCTCTTCGTGTTCAGCCATAGAATCACTTGCCTGAGGATGGCTTTCCCACATCCTTTATGAATTAAGAATGGATAAAAAATGATCTATTGCCTTGTTACATAGCGGCATGCCACTAGCCCTTCTTGGTGTTCGATAGCGGGTTTGATTTTTCATGCAGCCTCTTGTGATCCAAAATTAAAATGTCCATTTCTCATAGAGGACAAGATTTCCTAACAGTTTTCACATCCCTCGTGTATGCGTCTGATGAAAACTGATTGAAGATCACACTGCCTTCATATGGACTTTCTCTTGATAACACTTGAAATTTGTTTGTTATATTAGGTAGCTTTGTGTGATAAATGGCCTCTTTTTATTTATTTATGAAAATGACCTTTTGAGTAATTTGTTTTATACAATTAAGTACAAGTGTTTCTTAATCAAGATTTTAATTAGATCAAAGGTGATTTTTAACCAGGCCTCCTGAGGCTAAGGCTAGTCTAGGTAGTAAGGGGTGGAAGGAGGTGTAGATAAAGCTTCAGGCTTCAAAATCACACGATCTAACCTAGAAAAGAAGTCTATCTTTAAGCACACAATGTTTCTGTTGGTACTTAAGATTTTGTAATAATTAGAACCCCTGTTTGGCTCAATATCATGTGATATGTTTATTGCTAGTGGTGAGTGGTGACCGAAATTTGAATCCTTCGATGTTGTTTTGGGCACGCAATGAAATGAATTTGCTATACTTAATATATTCTATTCTAACACATCACTTGATGAAGTATATTATCTCTACTTGTCAATGAGAGCACGTTTGCATTTTTTTTTTTTTAACTTTTCACTGCCAGGGTGCAGAAGGCTCCAATGCTGATTTCAAATGAAGAGAACTTCTCAAAGGAATGAATGAATTAGAAGTGTAGATTACAATATATGAAGAAGAAATCAGGCGAGGAGGCATTATCCTTTATCACAATTGGATTACTCTTGGCCAACAATACTTAACGCCTTTTTAACTGGAATTTTCTTTGGCATGTATAATAATAACTTGTAATGTGGGGCTAACATGATTTTCTTTTCTTTTCTCTTTTATTTTTGGAAATTAAAGGCGCAGCAGCCACTCTGCCTGTTTGGATTATGATATAAATATATTTTAAAGGTTAAAATTCTGATTTTGTGAAAATATGCCCATATTTCATATTAAAATCATATATGCACCTAAAATCATGTTTTCCTAAAATTATTCAAACATTCATTAAACATGTCAAAATTAATTTTAAACTCAAAACCATATTTTCTTTAAAATATTAAAATATTGATTTTATAATGTTTATTTTGAGGCTATTAATCTCATCACACCCTTCTAGAGTCACCACCAGCCTTTTGAAGATATAATCTGAAGAATTATTGATATGTTAAATGAGGTTTTAAATGTTTTGATAAATTTTATATATAGAGACATGAATTACCTTGCGCATATGTTAGCTAAGCATGGTCACCTTATCACAAGTGAGTTTTGTGTCTTCGATCATCAACCATCTTTCATATAGATAGTGAATGATAAAGACTCTCCTTGTTTTTTGTTTGTATTTGTTTTTTTAGTATATAGCAGTATCCAATTTCCATTCAAAAAAAAAAAAAAATTCAAACACATCTATGTATATCAAAATTCAATTATAATTTTGAAATAATTTGATATTGATATTTCAATATTTGACATTGGTATTATGGAATTTAAAGCAGTCAAATTTTGCTATATTAGTATCAAATTTTGAAATCTCATTATTAAATTCAATTTATCATTCTCCAATATAAGTACTTAACGTCACGAGTGGATGATCAAAATCAAATTTCCTTGGTTTTGTTTTAGATTTAAAGTGTATTTTTGCTGTTGAATTAGTTGTGTAAAAGCATTTGGTATCTCTCTCTGTTTTTTGTTTGGTATTATAATGATCCCCTTTTACAATAAAAAATGGTTTAATGTTGTTCTTGCATAAGTAGCATCCTGGACCATAAACTTTAAAATTTAGAGCAAATTAACTCTACCATTTATATGTGTAGAATATTGAATGTTATATAAACCAAATTAGTTTCAGTGTGGTTCGCCATGACGAACGCATTATTGGTCTTAGTGAATGACCTAAAATTTTATGAAATGAAGTTTTTTTACCCCTTTTTTGTAATGTGTTTAAAATAATTGGTGTCTCATACTTTCATATACTCGATAACTTTGATATAGTTTTATTTTGAATAATGTTTACTTATTTAATGTGAAAACTTCTTTTCAAAATGGGAACCCAAGTTTTCACTATTAAATAAATAAATATTATTTAAAATAAGACTAAATCAGAGTTATAGAGTATACAGAAGCATAAGATATTAATTGTTTGAAAAACATTACAAAAAAGTAGGGCAAAAACATCATTTTACAAAATTTTGAGTCATTCGCTGCAGTCAATAATACATTCACCTCGAAGGATCACGCTAAAGCTAAATTAGTTTACACAACTTTCAACGTTCTACACATAAATGATGAAATTAATTTGTTCTGAATTTCAAGATTTAGGGTCCAGGATGATGTTCACACAATAGTTTAAGGTTTGTGGTGCTTATTAACTAATGATATTAGCAAGAGGCTGCCACATTAACATTTGAATAGAACTTACAAAGTCAACAGTTGATGGTGTTATCTATAAGTTAAAAGTGGGAGGTAATTTACTCTAGATTTGGAAGTTCATTATTTATTTTATACATTTTAAGAGTTCACAATTCATGGTACTTTTTGCGTGATACTTTAAGGTCCAAAATGCTCGTAAACCCAAAAATAATTAAGTCACAAACATAATTTTTTGTCAAATTGACACTATGTAAATACCGTATTTTGTCTGAACTTTCAAATATAAATAAAAATCTTGATAAAATAAAATAAATAATAAATAAATTTAAAAAATATACTAATTTCAAATGAAAAGTCTTTCTTTTTCATTGACCCCAAATCTCCTTAATTATGTTCCACCAAACTTGATTTAATGAAGGGAAAATTAGAAAAATTTGAAAGTCACATTATTTGATTCTGATTTTGAGATGATTATGGCTTAATTGGAATTTGGTTTAATTGTAGGAAGAATTTAAAAATCTGATTTGAAAAGTCAAAATAGGATTTTTTTTTTTATTTGAAGAGATCCGGGCTTGATTAGGCCATTAATGAGGAAAAACTGTAGTGGTATATCTAAAAGGGAGAGAAGAATGCCACAAGAAAGGAATTTTTGGGAGGAGACCGCGAAGCATATTGTCGAAATTTTGAAAGTGAGTGATCTTTTTTGTACTACTTTCACATTTCTTTCGGTTTACGTGCATGGTTGGTTTGAAAGTAGAGAGAGGAGTTTCCTCAAGTTAGGGTGATAAGCTTTTGAGTCCACGGATGGTATTTTGTCCTCACCAAGTTTTGTAATAGTAGCCATACACTTGACCACCAATTGCACTCATCTTTAATTGACTTTTTTTAGGTGGCTTCTTACATTTACTACTTTTATTCAAAACAATTACATGTTTGCCTGTTGTATCTTTCTTGTGCTTCATATTTTATCCTCACTTGGTTTGGCTGCACGTCCACGCATGGGATGCTTTGACACATTGTTAATTCTTGTCTTGTTTTATTGATTCATGGTTCTAGTGGCAATATTGTGATGTTTGGCCCAACGCATTGTTTTCTTTACAGTCAATACCCATTGGACAACTTATGTTTCAATTTCATCTTATAATTTTAAGAGTTCACAAGTGATACTAAATTGTCGTAAATGTTTTGATGTATTGTAAGTAATACTAATTCATCGCGATTGTTGAACAAAAATTAGATAAATGTAACGGACTCCTCTATGCCATGTATCGCGACAGAGGGTAGCGTGCACTATGACGCATGGCCAAAAATTAGATAAATCAGCTCATGAACTGCGTGAAAACATAAAGAGAGAAAGAGGAGGAAAACGAAGAGCTCGATTTTGGCTCTGCTAGGGCACGACTTTTGGTCCCATTGTTGATAGATTGAAGCTCTCAAACATTCAAGGTAAGATTATGGTGCCTTCTTCTTCTTTTCTCTTCTTCATTTGTAACAATTTATGGTAGGGTTTGAGTTGGGAGATGTATTTTCAGTCTATAGGAGTATGGTTCTAATTTCATTGGTTAAAATAAGTTAAATGGGAGTTGTTTAATGTATTGAAACACCATACTTATGATTTTGAAAGTGGGTGGTCAATGGGAGCATTTAATGTTCAAAAATTAACATTTATGAGGTAGTTTGGAGAAGTTGATGTGCATTAATGATGGTTTGAGGTGTTATCAATGATAATGTGCATTAATAGAATCTAATGAGTCTATTAGGTATGAATGGGTAGTGATTATGAGTCAGTTAAAATAGTGTTTGTGGAGTTTTATGTTGATAAGTTCAAGAGTTAAGTAATGATGATGTTCTTATGGTTTGGATGACTAGAGGTTCATTTTGGCACCATTCGAACTTGTTGAAACTTTGGGAAGTTGATATAGTGAGGGGTAAGCCTTTGACTTCTTAAAGGTTTAAGGTAACCAAGAAAAACTTGATTTTTATAGTTAAATGTTAATTGTGTTTGTGGAATGTGATTTGTGGATTAAATTGATGATGCATATTGGAAAGTGTGGATTTGGGAAATGGTTTTGAAAAGAAAACCTTGATTTTTGCCACTCTTGATGTTTTATAAAATTACTTGTGATTTATTACTATGGGTGGAGAATGGTGATGAAATTTGAGTTAATTATGAGCATATGTGTTATGTGAGTTCATTTGTCGAGAAATGATTGTTGGAAATGCATATTATGTGTGAAATGTACATAGCATGATTATTGGTGGGAGTTCGCCCAGGGAAAGGAGTAGATTGGTTGAAATTCACGTAATACTGGCAGTGACCGTTGGAATCGAGAACTAGCCTTGGCACCGACCGTTGGAATTGGGAGGTAGCCCTTATCCTATGATTGATTCGAGATTGTCTCACTTGTTCTACGAAGGACTCGAACTTAATTAGTCTCCACCGGTTCATGAGGAGGCTAAATTAGGGGTACGACACCCCATGGTTGTTAGTATTGGGGGAAATCGAATTACATAAGCGAGTGAGTTAACTCTAGCTCGGTGGCTTCTCATAAGTGGAAGGCTGGATTAGTCTGTGAAGGACATAGCCATGTGATAGCCACCGGTTTCGTGTCGAAGGTAATAGGAGGATATAAGATTGGCATATAATCATACATATAAGTACGACTACATGGTTGTTAGTTTTGTATTCTGGCACGTGCTAAGGGTGCATGGTTATTATTTTGCGACCCTGAGTTATGTTTTTAAAAATATCATGATATGGTGTTTTGTGATAAGCCCGGTCACATAATTGTTAGTTTTGTGAATGGTGGCCTAGTGCTATGTGAAATATGTATTTATTCACCTAATTGCATTTATTTACAATTAATATGTAACTGTAAGGGTTAAGTGAAACTTGATTACTGAGTGATTGTATTCACCCCTTAATTCTCAATATTTTCAAGACCTAGCTCATCGGATCTAAGTCGAGAAACATACAGAGGCTTAGGATTGGTAGAGTAATCCTCTATATGCCTCTCTTTTGCTATTTACATATGTATTTGTTAATGTTTTTGCCAACTA